CAAGCAGTCCCACTCATTGGAAAAAAGTCAGTGTCAATCATTTGCTATGCCTGCTTTGAGATTGGGGAGACTTTTAAACTTCAAAATAAAAATACATCTTCAATTTTAGAACTAATCTAAACTAGAGCATTTTTTACAGGCTCACAGTTGCCAAGCATGCAAGGGAACTGGTGTTCGCGTGTGCTGTTGATGGATATACCCTTACAGAGAGGAACTTGATGATTTCTGTCAAAACCTTAAATGTACATACACCTGACCTAGAAATTCCTCTTCTAGGAATTTGTTCCACAGATATATTTCTAAAATAAAAATCATATACATAGCTGTGTATGCAGAACTGCTTATAATGAGAAAAAAAAAAAAAAAAAAACCTAGAAACTTAAATGTCTATTAGTAAAACCTGAAAATCAGACTAATTGCCACCAAGTTGATTCTGACTCCTAGTGACCCTATAGGACAGAATAGAACTGCCCCATCAGGTTTCCAAGGCTGTAATCCTTACGGAAGCAGACTGCCCCATCTTTCTCCCACGGAGCTGCTGGTAGGTACAAACTGCCAACCTTTTGGTTAGCAGCTGAGCACTTTGACTACTGTGCCACAAGGGCACCTCTTCTTTTAATTAAGGACTTGTTAAACCAGTGACAGTACATCCATAGAACAGAATACCACACAGATGATAACAAGTATAAACTAGACCAAGGATCAGCAAAATAGAGCCCAGGGGCCACATCCAGCCTCTATTTTTGTTAATAAAGTTTTATTGGCACAGAGTACATGCTCAGTTATGTAGTGTCTACAGCTGCTTTGAGGAGCCCCAGTGATGCAGTCATCAAAGTGCTCAGCTGCTAGCCAAAAGGTCAATGAATGGTTTGACCGCACCAGTGGCTCTGCAGGAGAAAAGACTGGCAAGTCTGCTGCTGTGAAGACAAAGCCACCTAAGAAAACTGATGGGGAAGTGTGACTCTGTCCTGTAGGGTCGCTATGAGTCAGCACCCAACAACACAACGTGGCTGCTCTAGTGCTACGGCAGCAGAGGCGAGCAGGTGCCAACTCCTGGTTTGGATTGAAAAAATAACTGAGTGGGTATCTGAGGTGATCTGAATTCTAGTCTGTGTGTCAGATGAGCCTTCATTTGGTTCCTTTGAAATAAACAACATTGAAGTTTCTGTTTTGTTTTATTTAATTTTTATTGTGATTTTGGGGAAAGTTTACAGAGCAAACTCACTTTCCATACAGCAGTTCACATACACTTTGTCTCATGACACTGACTGCAATTTAACATTGGAAGTTTTTTTTTTTTT